GAGAGAGGCAGCCAGAGGAGACACCCAGCCGCCCAAAGCCATCACCCTCAGGCAGGTTCCTCGGCTCCTTGCAGTAGGCGGCCTGTGCCTGCTCTCCCCAGCGAAAAGCACCGGTGCCACCCTCACCCCATCCCAGCCCCGCGGCTGCACTGGGGGTGGCAGCAGCAGGGGGGACGCTGCTTTCGGGGGTGGCAGTGTCCGGCCGGTACCTGGTTTGGAGACTGATCATCTTTCTTTGCCCCAGCAAAGCTCCCCCCTTCCTCCAGGTGGCCGCTCCCAGTGACACATCTAACCTCTGGGCACTGACGGAGATTTTGTCCTTTCTCTGGAGAAAGAGGAGTGCCGCCATTTGTACACTTTATCTATTCTGACTGAATGTTTCTAGTATTTTTTTTTAATTAAAAAAATAGGATATTTTAATGCAAATAGAGAAGAAATGGATGATTTTCTTTTTATGAATCAATGAAGGCAGCAAGATGCTTATTGCTAATAAACACGCGTTGGCTGGGCAAGGTGTGTCCCGTCGGAGGCACCGCTGTTGTGTGTTATTTCATGCTGAAAGTGGCCACTGGCAGAATAAAGCCGACTCGATCCCGGTGTGTGGTGTGCTCTCGGTGTCACCGGTGTGGTCACGGGTGGGGATGGGGCCTGAACCCTGCGCTTTGCCCCCCGATGGGGGGACACCCCTGTGTGGCAAATCCCAGAGCCAGAGGAGGGTGTTCACAAAAGAGACAGAGGAGTCCTGCAAAGACTTTATTTGAATAGAGCCCGCTGGGGCGTTCCCCTGGGGGTCTCTCCATTTTCCGGAGGACGCAGCCTCCATTTTACCCTCGTTCCCCGGCCGCACGGAACCCTCGTCCTTCCCCCGTTGGCTGAGGGACTCGGAAGGTACAGACTTCTCGAGCTGCCTGGCACATCAAAGTTTAACTTTTGCATCTTCAGTTAATTCCCCGTTTTTTTTTTTTTTTGTTTGTTATCTCAGTCCTGCAGTTTCCAGTAACTCTATTTTCTTCAGTTATCTTACTCTTGTAAATTACATTAACGTCTCTGTGTGTGGGGACGCTCAGGTCCCTGCTCTGTCCGCTGTTCGGGCAGACGCTCTTATCACCCACCCCCCTCCCGACAGGGCTCCCGCCGCCCGCAAGGGGCCGCGCAGCCTTAGAACCTTCCTGGAGTTGCGCAACTTGCTGTTATAACCAGCCTGAAGGCTCCGGGGTGCCCGGGGGCCGCTCTCCGCCCGCAGCCCCCCCCACCGCCGCTGCCGGCGCCGCCATTTCGCGGGGCGGGGCCTCTTGCCCTCCCGCCCCGGGGGTGGGGCCGGAGCCCGCCCTCGCCCCGGAAGTGGAAGCCGCCGTCTCTGCCGCCACTTCCGCTTCCGCCGCTTCCGCTTCCGCCGCGTCCATCCAATGCGGGGCAGGCGGCGTTTTGGCGCCGAATGCGAAGGGGTCGGCGGGAGCGGGCGGGGAAGCGCAGAGCGCCCCCTGGCGGCGGGGCGGCCCCGGCCCCTCATGGCGGCCCTGCCGCAGAACAACCTGCGGGAGCAGCTGCGGCTCCACTCGGCCCGCGGAGCCCTCAGCGCCCTCCGCAACGCGCCCCCGCCGCGCCAGCGCTCGGCGTGAGTACCGCGGGGCCTCGGCGGGGCGGGGGGGATGCACACCGGGCGGCGGGGCGATACCCGAGCGGGGGGCGCTCACCGGGGGCTCCTCTCTCCGCAGGGGCTTCACCTTCAAGAAGACCTCTCCGGCCGGCGGCCCGCCCCGGGGCCTCCCCGCCGCCTCCGCCTTGAGGGAGAAGGATGTTAACACCTCCCTGGCTGCGCCGGCCTCCCCCCTCCCTGCCTCCAAGGACAAGAAAACGCAAATCCAGGCGTTTTTTCCCGTGGTGTCCGGTGGGTGCAGCCTCCAGCCCAGCCCGGTGCTCGCCAGGCCTCAGGAGGCGTCAAGAGGCCCTGTGGCCTCTGGGCAGAGGAGCGTGAGTGAGGGGCTGCGAGGGACCCCCGCGCCCCGTCCCGTGGCTGTCCCCGCCGTCGGGGATGAGTGGGACGACATTGATGACTTTGATTTGTCGGGAATCGAGAAGAAGTACTGCAGGCCGCCCGTCCTGTCCCCCAAGGGGCAGCGGGCCACCTGCAAGGCTTCCCAGAGGCCCGAGCCCCGCCGGGATGAGCTGCCCGGCTCTTCCCCCGGTGCTGTGGGCCAGGACACGGGGCCTGGCAGCCGTGGCACCCCGGGGCGTGGGGAGACCCCTCCAGAGGCCGAGCAACAACCCTCCTCGCAGCAGTCTGTGATCTGCCTTGAGGATTCGGCTCCCTGCGGCGATGAGAAGGCCGTGGGTGAGGACCTTTGGGAGGATTTATCCGCTGACGTGATTTTGGGTGATGACAGGGAAGAGGCTCACCCAGGTAACGATTTATTTTAAAGTCCTGGTGCGCTAGAGGAAAATATGCTCGTGTTTGCACACAAAGGGCTTGGCTTTTCAGAAATCAGAGGGAGCTGCACACTCGTGTCTGAGGAGCAGCCGTGGGTGGGGGGTTTGGGGTGGGTGGGCAGGGCTGTGAGCCGTGGAGCACCGTGTCTGTGGCAGAAGGAGCAGCTGGTCGCGTGGCAGCGCTGGGAGCTGCAGGGCTCCCCATCTGCTGTTCCAGAAATGAAGAGCAATAATCTACAGGGATGTTATAGAAGGAAAAATGCTTTTAAAATTCATACAAGAGAGACACAAAATCATCTTATGCCTAAATTTAATGATGAGAAATATTAAACCAGAAAAAGAGATCTTTCAATTTAAAACAAAGCGAAAATGTCAGCCCTCAGTTACAACCAAAAAGTCTGTGACTCGCAGTCAGAGCTTCCTTGGCAGCTCCCTGTTGTTTTGAAACTTTTGATCTTTATTTGTGAAATTAATGTGTTTATGCAACTGAATGATACTGAACAGTGTCCTGTGGTGCTGTCGTTCCACTAAGTGGCGAGAGGGCTTGTCAACTGTATTTTCCTTGAGAATATTTTGTTACCTTTTCCATTCTTCCTGTGAATGGATTTTGATATATTAATGATACTGGCCTTTTTTAGTAGGATTTGTCTTATAAGGCACTACACGTGTAAATTTACCACCTAATTCCCGCAGAGGGACTATACTAGTTGATGAGTCTCCACTCTTTTTTTGAGCTAGTATTTCATGTAATGATACTTTTGTATAAAATCTTTTGTAGGAAAAAACCTTTTAAGGTTTTTCTGTTCCGGCAGGGAGAGGAAACTAGAGGCAAGCTGTATAGCTTTTCCTCTTAGAAGAGTGTTGGTGGGATTTTTGTCCCTTTGTTTTTAATGCAGGAGGAAAAGGGAGCAGTAATAATATTTTTTTTAAAGTCAGAAGCTATTAAATGAGTGTCTTGAAATCTGGCTGCTGATTTTTTCGCTCTGCTGAGTTACATTCTTGTTTGCACCTGAAGGAGTTTCCAGCATTACCCAAGAAGGTTAACACGTGTCTCTCCCAGGGTCTGGCGCTGGCGGCGGGGCCGGGCAGCGGGCGGGTGGCCAGGGGCAGAGCAGCCCCCTGGAACTGGACGCCGTCGACATCGAGCCCTTCCCTGAGCTCGAGGAGGACGATTACTTGGATGTCGTTCCACCATCCCCTGAGGAAGAGCTGCCTTCCTTCTTGCCTTCTGGAAAAAGCACTAGGTAAAACAAAGTTCATTGATAGAACTGCCTGTCTTTAGGATAAGATTTAAGAGTACCAAAAAAGACATGAAACTAGTGCTTGTTAAAACGTTGTTTGCCACGTTAACAGCTGACACTGCTGGTAATGCCTTAGGAAATACTTTCATGGCCGATGTTAAAGGTGGCTTTTGCTTCAGAAAAAGCAAGAGTTACTTTTCCTTTCATAGTGAGAGGGACAAACAATTATTGAAGCAAGTCCCCACACAGAGGACGAGTGATAAAGTGCTCAGCTCCCTGCATTTAACGGGTTTTTCAGAAATTTGGTTATCTTTTATGCACACCTTAAATGTTGCTTTCTAAAAGATAAAATTCTTGTATGGAAATGCCTTGTTTTCCAGATATCTGTATTTTAATGACTTTTTCTTTTAATGCTAGTAGTGTTTTCAAAGAGTCTCCTGCCAGTGGGAGGTCCACAAGCAGCTCTCAGTCCACGCCTGGGCCGGGTGCCACGGCGCAGCCTGTTGCTGACAGTGACCCTGGTGCAGAGGGTGCAGGTACAGGAAATGTTTGGAAATTTTATGCCTCAAGTTTTGGGGATGGTTTGCAACAAATTGTTCTGGGTTTCCCATTTCTGAGAGCATTCCCTGAGGGTGAGCGATGAGGAGGAGGAAGCAGGGGACTGTCCGGGACAGGATTTTCAGACGCCTATCAGTGTATCATGTGTACCAGTGTTGCTTAAAACTTGGTGTTTACAAATGCTCAGAGCAGGGTGTTTATGTTTTAATGATGCTGTTCTGGAAATCAATGTAGTCAGGCTCTGCCTCGTTGTCCGTTCCTGCTCGGTGGGGAGGGTTTGGTGGTGGCGAGAGACACCCAGCTGCCCCCCGGGCAAATCAGACTTGGGCAACTGCAGCAGGGCCTGGAGCCTCTTCTGAGGGGTCACAGCCCCGCAGCAGCCGTTGGGGGTCCCCTGCAGCTCCGGGGCAAAATCCAGATGGTTCTGTGGTACCAGATTGGAAAGGGAAGGTTGTGAGCTGACAAACACCAACTTTCACCTGTGGGAGGTTTTTTTCCATGGTACTTTCTAGACTAGAATTGCAAGGTAACATTTCGTAGGATGTGTTCCAGTGCGTTTGGGGAGGGGTAATTTGAGATAAGCAAAACGTGTAAAATTGAGTGTTTTTTTTCAAAATAAGCGGGAAAGAAATGTGGGGAGGTTTGGAAAATACAGAGAGATGGATAATTAAAAGGCAAGGACACATAGCCTAACTGAGTCTGTACACACAGAAACGGGGTAATTTGAGATAAGCAAAACGTGTAAACTTGAGTGTTTTTTTCAAAATAAGCGGGAAAGAACTGTGGGGAGGTTTGGAAAATACGGAGAGATGGATAATTAAAAGGCAAGGGCAAAGACACAGCCTAACTGAGTCTGTACACACAGAAAGAGTTTCTTTATGCGAATGGACTTTTAAAAAATCCATTGAAAGTAAATTATTTTGACTTATTTATTGCAATTTACTGCCTTGTTGTATATATGATTTATAGTAAAAGCTAGTGTTACTGTGTGGTAAACCACTCCATCTCACAGATAAGGACCTGCCTTTGGAGCAGCAGCTCTTCGGCGTCATGGCCACCATCTGTGAGCTGGTGGACGCCATCCCGCTCCGGGAGCTGCAGGGCCTCTCCTGCGCCAAGGCCCTGCTCCAGCAGCGAGACCTCAGGTACGCGCCGACCAGCCGCCCTTCCCGCTCCGTGTGGAGTGCTGTGGTGCCTGCAGGTGTCTCCACCACACCGAGGAGATGACACGGAAGGATTTTTTTTTTTCAAAAAGCTTAAATTAACTAACCAACTGAAGGGGAAAAAAAAAAAATCCCCCCCAAACTTGCTGAAAGTGTTAACGATCCCAGTGTTCTGCCAGAAGAAAGGATCAGGTTCACGTTCAGTCTGAGGCCCAGGTGTCTTGTGTCTCTTCTCTGGAAGGTGATGAGAACCAGCTGCTTCCAAAGCAGCAGGGTGATGGGATAGAACCTGCCAGGTGCCATCCTTGGTCCTTGTCACCCCAGGCATTAGTTCCATATTCCCTCCCCGAGAGTGGCTCTCGCTGGCTGCAGGGACTGTGAGTTCTGATAGCTGTGTGTCTGTCATCTTCCAGCCTCATCATTGCTGCTGCTTCAGCTCCTGCGTACTCTGCTGGCACGATATGGGGACAAAGCGTTGGGATTTGGATTTTGTTTTGGTTTTTTTACTGGCCTGGATTTACGTGCTTTTTCTGAGCATTGTCAGTAAAAAGAACTTATTCTATTTCCCCTCCTTACTGTAGTCAGACATAGTTTTTAGAAAATACGTAAAAACATAATTTGGTTCAAGCATATTTAAAGTTTATGCCTCTAAAGATTTTTTTTAATTATTATTTTATTTTAAGCTCTCCCTTGCCTGGATGAGTTGTTTGCTATTAGGAATTCTTTCATTTTATGTCTGCAGAGAAGGTGTAATTTTGTAATTATTTTGTTCAACTGAGTTCTGGTTTTATTCTCTCTTCCCTACGTTTGTTTGAAATATTTTTGAGATACAGTGACACAGAATGCAATGTAACCACCATATGTTAGTATTTTTCATAGGAGAGAGACAAAACTGTTTAATGTATGTTGTAGAACTTGATAAATCATCGCTTGTGACTAAATACATCTTTTCCTTCTTCCTTGCCTTGCTGTCTCTCCAGGAGCAGATTGCTGGCTGGTTCTGTCACTTTGAACAAAAGCGCCATGACCAAGGGTTTTCCTGGTTCCTGGAAGGGGTGTGTGGAGCAGAGCTCTCCTGCCCCTCCTGCTCCGGGCTCTGGCCCAACCTGGAGCTTCAGTTTGGGCAGGAACTCGCCCCAGTCCCCAAACCTCCCCTCTGCCCTTTCCGGGACTGTTCCTTCAAGCCATTTTTCTACCAAGAAAAATCAAACCTTGGACACCCCTTGTGCTTCAAAGCCAAGTACCGAGGAGGTTACCTGCCCAGGAACTGCAGCACCATCCTCCTCCCGGGGACACGGCGGGGACAGAGCTTCCCTCAGCCCTCACCCTGAGACCTCCTTCCACAGCAGCTCCTGCGGGGAGCCGGGGCTGAGGAACGGGGAGAGCTGTCTCCTGCTGGAGAGGCCTCTCACCAGCACCGCTCTGCGAGACCAGGGCAGGGCTCCCACCAGCAGCTCTGAGCAGGACGCTCTGGGGCTGAACCACACGGACTTTGACCTCGATCACTTTGATATCGACGATTTTGATGAGGACTGGGAGAATTCGGTGAATGTTTCGGTACCCGAGACGCCGTCGACGCCGCTGTATCAGCCCGTCAGGGAGGGGCCTCCTGCCAGATCGCTCTCCTCAAAGATCCTGTCCAGAGCCAAAGTCTCTGCTGCTGCATCAAACCCTCCTGCTCCAAAATCCAGCTTCTTGATGGCAACAAAGAACCACTCGGGTAAATGATGTTCACTAGGATTACTGTCTTTCCCTTTCTGAATTTTTAGTTACTTATTTTTAAGCCTAAGGCCAAGTGACTTCCTGTAGATTATCAGTGCCTTTTGGTTTTGTGGAAATCTCTTTTGGTTTTTATCTCCAAAGTCTTCTGCTTTTTTTTCCTCTGAGCGATGCCAAACTTGTTGAGTGTTTATTTGCCGGGCAGGTGGCAGGCTGCTGGGGAGATGAAGCTGCTAAAAATGTAAACTAGAATGTTTGTGTGTTTTAATTAAGTAACAACTCTGCAGTTGTTAATTCAAAGCTGTTTATGCTACAGTTGTAGCTGTTTATGCAAAACCAGACACTTCCTGATGTGAACCTAATCCCTCTGGGGTCAGGGGGTCGGTGTCACTTGTGGTTACTGGGGGAAGGGGCTGGTGAAGGGGCAGGTGGAAATGGCAGCCCCTTCCAGCAGCCTCTGTCACGGGTTCAGCCACACCTGGGTTTGGGTAACCACGAACGGGCACCTCCTTAAGAGTTGTTTGTGGGAAACTGAAGTGTGTCGGTGTAGGACCAGGCATTGGAACAGTCACGGGGAAGACGCTTGTTTCCAGAGATTTGCATATAGTCAGAGTTCACACTTTAGATGCTCTGACCTTCTAGATGAATGCAATTTTGTTTAATAAGTCATGATTTGAGTTCAAAAGGCTCAAAGGGTTGTGGTGGTGGCTGAGCCCTGTGTTACAGCCAGGCAGTGTCACGTTGCCAGAGGGATCCTCAGCTTCACGTTGTGACTCACTGTAGGTGCATCTTCTGTGTCTCCTAGACCCGCCGGCCACTAACCCTGCGCTGGACCGCTTCAGGGGCACGAAGTTCTCCCATTCTGAAGGGATGATGAATATATTTCACAAGAAGTTTGGTTTGCACTATTTTCGGACAAACCAGCTGGAGGCCATCAACGCTGCTCTGCTGGGTGAAGACTGTTTCATCCTGATGCCCACGGGTGGGTGTCTCCATGGGCCACCCATGGCAGCCCCAGGCCTTTGAGCACAGGCTTGGGAAATAAAGACCTGCAGCTCCTTTGGTGGGGCCCTTGCCAAACTCTTTTCTTTCTCTGTGCCTTGTGGAGGTGGCGATAAATTGTGCTGCTCGAGCCCTTGCCAAACTCTTTTCTTTCTCTGTGCGATAAATTGTGCTGCTCGGGAATGCAATTTTGTTTAATAAGTCATGATTTGAGTTCAAAAGGCTCAAAGGGTTGTGGTGGTGGCTGAGCCCTGTGTTACAGCCAGGCAGTGTCACGTTGCCAGAGGGATCCTCAGCTTCACGTTGTGACTCACTGTAGGTGCATCTTCTGTGTCTCCTAGACCCGCCGGCCACTAACCCTGCGCTGGACCGCTTCAGGGGCACGAAGTTCTCCCATTCTGAAGGGATGATGAATATATTTCACAAGAAGTTTGGTTTGCACTATTTTCGGACAAACCAGCTGGAGGCCATCAACGCTGCTCTGCTGGGTGAAGACTGTTTCATCCTGATGCCCACGGGTGGGTGTCTCCATGGGCCACCCATGGCAGCCCCAGGCCTTTGAGAACAGGCTTGGGAAATAAAGACCTGCAGCTCCTTTGGTGGGGCCCTTGCCAAACTCTTTTCTTTCTCTGTGCCTTGTGGAGGTGGCGATAAATTGTGCTGCTCGAATTCTGTGGCTGCAGGATTTCAGGGCTGTTGTCTGCACTGGGGTGTTTTGGATGAGGGGGTTGAGTTTCTGCCTGCCATGGTATTTCACATGATGGCTCTTCCTTATCCTGCAGGTATCACGTCAAAGACACTGGGAAAAGTTCATTATTTCTGGAAGTGCTGTAAAGTGGGGAAATGAGCGGCAAAGGGAGACTTATTGCTTCTTCTCCAGAGTCTCCCTTTCCTCTTGGTCCCTGACATGTGGTGTGTTGTGTTCCATCCTCACAGGGGGTGGGAAAAGCTTGTGCTACCAGTTACCGGCCTGTGTCTCTGCTGGAGTCACCATCGTCATCTCCCCACTGAGGTCCCTGATCATAGACCAAGTGCAGAAACTGAAGACTTTAGATGTAAGTTCCAACAGCTGGCTCTGTTCGGTTGAACTCCAGATGAGTGAGTAGTAAATCTGGAATTTTATAGTAAATCTTATGTCTCAAATATAAATGGCAAAAATTGATTAGATGGAAAGTGTAAAAGGCAAAGTTGTGTAGGAAGAACTAAATCAGATGAATTAGAACATGTGGGCAGTCTGACTCCTGAACTGACTGATGCTGCTGTGTACTTGTTATCAGAGCTCAGTTTCCAAGTACAGCTGCATATACATTTTATCTGGTTTATAGCTAGATGGAGGACTATATTTGGAGATGCTTCTCTTTTGTGCATATTAAAATCCAATTATTTTTTTTTAATATAGATTGCTGCAACATATCTGACTGGCGATAGAACAGATGCTGATGCTTCAAAAATATACATGCAACTGTCAAAAAAAGATCCTGTAATAAAGCTTCTGTATGTTACCCCTGAGAAGGTTTGTATTTGATTTGAATTGTAAAATCCTGGAGGCAGCAAGAGGTGGGTGAAAGGGGAAATGCTGAATTTAGAGTAGGGGAAAAAAATTGTTAAATATTTTTTTGATAATTCAGTAAGACTCTGTACAGATGTAAGTAATTTCAATCTGTAATTAACCAAGAATGAGGACTGAGTATGTCTGTGCAATTTAAATTCTTAGAAGAAGAACCCCATGCCCATCCATTTCAATGTATCTCACTACATATGAGTGGCTAATTGCTGTCAAGCAGCTATTAACATCTAGGGTACTATGAATAGGATAATACAGGGGGAAAAGCTGTCGAGGTAATAGGTGATTGTCAAAGATTACCTTGTTCTTAATTATATGTTGCCTTTAGAAGTGATGTTATTCCCCAAGAGCTCTGTAAGAGGCACTGCTCAGTGCGCTGGTTATTTCTCTTCAACGTTGTTGTTACTTGTCTTTGGTGGCACAAATGATTTCAGTTTACTGCGATCATAGGACCTCTGGACAGACAACCCTAGAACCTCGTGGGGATCCCACACCAGCCGCTTCCTTGCCAATGGAGATGAAGCTGGTCACCATCTGCTGTGTGTCCACGGGCTTCACCCATGCAGGCAGGGATAGCTCTGCTGCACAGAGCAGTGGTTCTGGGCTCGGTCAGGAAGGGCCATGCTCTGTCTGTCTGTCAGTCCATCTGTCTGTCCGTGTGACGCCGCTGGTGGGTCTGTTCCCAGGTTTGTGCCAGCAACCGCCTGATGTCAGCCCTGGAAAATCTCTACGACAGGAAACTCCTGGAGCGTTTTGTCATCGACGAGGCCCACTGCGTCAGCCAGGTAACTGCCTTCTCCTGCTTTCTGAAATGGCAGAGGAGACTCAGTGGGAGCATCTGACTCAGTTACACTCAAACGTTGTTGTTAAACCAGTGGGGTCACGACTTCAGACAAGACTACAAGCGGCTGAACATGCTGCGCAGGAGGTTCCGCTCCGTGCCCATGATGGCTCTCACGGCCACCGCCAACCCCAGGGTCCAGAAGGACATTCAGAACCAGCTGGAGATGCTCAAACCACAAGTGTGAGTTGCTCAGCACCTTCCTGATACCCTTTGTTTGTGCCACAGGAATTTTGAGTGGAAAACTTAGTAAAGTAAGAAAAGCCTTCTTGGCCCACCTGGGATACTTAGGTAGTTGTAGCTGATTAAATGAGGTTGGGTGCGTGGGATTTACAGTGAGTTACGTGCAAAGTATTAAAGTAAGAAGGAAAAAAAAAACCTCGCCAAACTCTTCCTTGCATGATAAAGGGAGCTGTTTAATAGAAAATAACATCATGAGATTTTCTGTGTCACTGACAAAATGTACAAGTTGCATTTTTGAGTGCTTTTCATAAGAATGCTGGAAAACTGCAAAAGCTGGAAGTGTTTTTTAATTAGCATTGGCAGCAAAGTAGCTAATGAGGTACCACTGAGCCCAGATTGAATTGTGTTTTCATTGCACGTGATGGAAAAATAAAGTATTGTGTTTTGTTAGATTTCCTATTTTAGCAACGTATTTTAGGTTAGAAGGAGGGAGGTGACACTGTATTTCACAAATTTGATCAGTCAAATGTGGATGCAAATATTCAAAAGGAAAATGAAGGTGAAGCAAACCGCGGTGTGAGTGTTTGGTTTATGGATGTTTCTTCCTTCTCCGTAGGAGAACCACGCAGCTGTGGTTTTTTCACAACCACAGGAAAAATGCAGGAATTTTAGCCCCAAAGTCTGCGTGCCGTGAATCTCGATTGGGGTAGTGGAACAGAAATTCCTTTGCAGATATCCAGCCCCAGCAGCAGTTCACGTGGGACGTTCCAGTCGATACCCGGCTGCTGGGACTGTCACTGCTCCCACAAAGCTGACACCCGGGAACTGCTGTGTTTTAGGTTCACCATGAGCTTCAACAGGCACAACTTGAAATATGACGTGTTGCCCAAGAAGCCAAAGAAGGTGGCAATGGATTGCTTGGAATGGATTAAGAAGTATCACCCACGTGAGTACTGAGCAGCACGGGGTGCCTGCGTGTGTTTCATGAACTGCTCTTTAGGGCAGGAAAAGCTTTTCTAATGCTGTAAAACCCCCAGAGTTGTGCCTCTCTGTAAGCCATGAATAGATCTGCAAGAAAACCAAGTGGGAGGCAAAATGATGTTATTGTCAGTGGGAATCAGGTTTGTGGGCATCCTAAAGTTCGGAGTTTGAGATGGGAAAGTCAATTATGGTGATGCTCTTGAGTAACCCTTCTGGAGGCTGCCAGACCTTGTATATAAAGATCATGTAATATCAGTACTGTTTTCATTGTTTAATTCCCTTGGTCTGCTTATCTGTGGTTCCCCCTGAAGATAACTTTTCTTGATTCCACCTTACCAAAAAAACCCAGGAAATTGGGTGAGGAGAAACTAACAAAACATCTGATATTAATAAAACTACTTTTCTTTATTATTAAGCAGTTATTGCATTACACTTACCAACCTCTCCCCTGTGGAATAAATGAATATGCTTGACGGGTATGACCGTTAAGGAATTGAAAGGGAATAAAGCTGTATTATAGCACAGATCTTTTTACATATTTGCAGATGACTCTGGAATCATTTATTGCCTTTCCCGACATGAATGTGACACGACAGCAGCTATCCTGCAGAAGGAAGGCCTTGCTGCACTGGCCTATCACGCTGGTCTCACCGACTCCAACAGGGATCTGGTACAGAAGAAGTGGATTAACCAAGAAGGGTGTCAGGTAAAAGGAAAGCAGCTGCAGGAAAAAAGAGAATAGAATTCAGAGTGCTTTTATCCCTCTTGGCCTAGAAAATGAAAGTCGAGTTGTGTAACGTTATTGCCAAATTCATCGACGAGGCCCACTGCGTCAGCCAGGTAACTGCCTTCTCCTGCTTTCTGAAATGGCAGAGGAGACTCAGTGGGAGCATCTGACTCAGTTACACTCAAACGTTGTTGTTAAACCAGTGGGGTCACGACTTCCGACAAGACTACAAGCGGCTGAACATGCTGCGCAGGAGGTTCCGCTCCGTGCCCATGATGGCTCTCACGGCCACCGCCAACCCCAGGGTCCAGAAGGACATTCAGAACCAGCTGGAGATGCTCAAACCACAAGTGTGAGTTGCTCAGCACCTTCCTGATACCCTTTGTTTGTGCCACAGGAATTTTGAGTGGAAAACTTAGTAAAGTAAGAAAAGCCTTCCTGGCCCACCTGGGATACTTAGGTAGTTGTAGCTGATTAAATGAGGTTGGGTGCGTGGGATTTACAGTGAGTTACGTGCAAAGTATTAAAGTAAGAAGGAAGAAAAAAACCTCGCCAAACTCTTCCTTGCATGATAAAGGGAGCTGTTTAATAGAAAATAACATCATGAGATTTTCTGTGTCACTGACAAAATGTACAAGTTGCATTTTTGAGTGCTTTTCATAAGAATGCTGGAAAACTGCAAAAGCTGGAAGTGTTTTTTAATTAGCATTGGCAGCAAAGTAGCTAATGAGGTACCACTGAGCCCAGATTGAATTGTGTTTTCATTGCACGTGATGGAAAAAAAAAGTATTGTGTTTTGTTAGATTTCCTATTTTAGCAACGTATTTTAGGTTAGAAGGAGGGAGGTGACACTGTATTTCACAAATTTGATCAGTCAAATGTGGATGCAAATATTCAAAAGGAAAATGAAGGTGAAGCAAACCGCGGTGTGAGTGTTTGGTTTATGGATGTTTCTTCCTTCTCCGTAGGAGAACCACGCAGCTGTGGTTTTTTCACAACCACAGGAAAAATGCAGGAATTTTAGCCCCAAAGTCTGCGTGCCGTGAATCTCGATTGGGGTAGTGGAACAGAAATTCCTTTGCAGATATCCAGCCCCAGCAGCAGTTCCTGTGGGACATCCCAGTCGATGCCCAGCTGCTGGGACTGTCACTGCTCCCACAAAGCTGACACCCGGGAACTGCTGTGTTTTAGGTTCACCATGAGCTTCAACAGGCACAACTTGAAATATGACGTGTTGCCCAAGAAGCCAAAGAAGGTGGCAATGGATTGCTTGGAATGGATTAAGAAGTATCACCCACGTGAGTACTGAGCAGCACGGGGTGCCTGCGTGTGTTTCATGAACTGCTCTTTAGGGCAGGAAAAGCTTTTCTAATGCTGTAAAACCCCCAGAGTTGTGCCTCTCTGTAAGCCATGAATAGATCTACAAGAAAACCAAGTGGGAGGCAAAATGATGTTATTGTCAGTGGGAATCAGGTTTGTGGGCATCCTAAAGTTCGGAGTTTGAGATGGGAAAGTCAATTATGGTGATGCTCTTGAGTAACCCTTCTGGAGGCTGCCAGACCTTCTATATAAAGATCATATAATATCAGTACTGTTTTAATTGTTTAATTCCCTTGGTCTGCTTATCTGTGGTTCCCCCTGAAGATAACTTTTCTTGATTCCACCTTACCAAAAAAACCCAGGAAATTGGGTGAGGAGAAACTAACAAAACATCTGATATTAATAAAACTACTTTTCTTTATTATTAAGCAGTTATTGCATTACACTTACCAACCTCTCCCCTGTGGAATAAATGAATATGCTTGACGGGTATGAGGAATTGAAAGGGAATAAAGCTGTATTGTAGCATGGATCTTTTTATGTATTTGCAGATGACTCTGGAATCATTTATTGCCTTTCCCGACATGAATGTGACACGACAGCAGCTATCCTGCAGAAGGAAGGCCTTGCTGCACTGGCCTATCACGCTGGTCTCACCGACTCCAACAGGGATCTGGTACAGAAGAAGTGGATTAACCAAGAAGGGTGTCAGGTAAAAGGAAAGCAGCTGCAGGAAAAAAGAGAATAGAATTCAGAGTGCTTTTATCCCTCTTGGCCTAGAAAATGAAAGTCGAGTTGTGTAACGTTATTGCCAAATGGGATGCAGTGTTAAATAAGTGATCTGGACAGATCTGCCCAAACAGACACCTTACCCATCTTTTTATTGGGAATTTTCCCAATCAAAGACTGCAGAATGATACACCGGGAGGGAGCTGAGCAGTGCGAGGCTTCTGAAGCAGCGCTCGACATGCTGCTGGGTGTATGCTGAGACTCAGAGTGTTCTCTTTGGAACAGCCCTTCTGAGAGGAGAGGTGTTTCTGCTCTTTCACACTCCTCTGGCAGGGTTACAATCGGAATTCCAGGTTCTGCACAGTTTCATAATCGTGGTCGCCTGTTTCTGGTGCAGAGTGCTGCCCGGCTGACTCTGTAACAGGTGATGGTTTCCTTCCCAGGTGATTTGTGCCACGATTGCCTTTGGAATGGGAATCGACAAGCCCGACGTGCGCTACGTTATCCACGCCTCCCTGCCCAAGTCTGTGGAAGGGTACTACCAGGAGTCGGGCAGAGCGGGGCGGGACGGGGAGATGTCTCACTGCCTGCTCTTCTACAGCTACAGCGACGTCACCCGGCTCCGCAGGCTGATACTCAGTGAGTCCTCCCGTGCTGACTTAGTGCAGACTGTTAAAGCAGTCACACGGTCACTGATCTCTGCCTCGTTAGACTGGGGTATTTTCTCATTTTGAGCGTGGTCTGGCCAGGATGGGAGAACGGGACGTCTTCACCTGAATGGTTTCCTGTAATGAAAGATTTTTGTCACTTGTACTTAATTTGAGCCAAAAACATTTTCCTTTATATCCATCTCTTGATTCTTGTCGTTCTGGTCATCTTTCCCTTCTCCAGCCTTTACAATTTTAAAGGTAAAATCTGACCTAGGTTAAACCTACTCATCATTTTTTCAGCAAAAGAGAACACTGTGTTTTGTCTACCTGATAAGATGTAAAAATTGCGGAGGTGCAGATTTAACAAATACAATTGAATTTCTTACCTTTCAGTGGAGAAGGATGGGAACAGCCACACGAGGCAGACCCACTTTAACAACCTGTACAGTATGGTTCACTACTGTGAGAATTTGGTCGACTGCCGGAGAATCCAGCTTTTGGCCTACTTTGGGGAGACTAATTTCAATCCCACCTTCTGTAAAGATCACCCAGAGGTTACTTGCGACAACTGCAGTAGAAAGAAGGTAAAAGCCATGGCTCTAATTTACAGTGTTGTTAAACCGAGTTTGCATTTGGTTGCGTTAAAAAATGATTCCCTGACATTTGGGAAGGCAAATGGAGAAAATGCTTAAGGTGTCTTGTGCTGTTGTGATGCTGGAGGCTTGGAATGATTTCCTGGGATTAACCTAGGGTAGAGTTACACTGACTATCCATGGACTTATGATGCTCCTCTTTCTGCCAGAGGAGGACCAGGATGTGCAAGGATGTTCCTTGCTGTCTGTTTTCGTGGCGGCGGTGCTCACGGGGGGCAGAGGGAACAGCAGACCCCCCCCGAAGGGCTGGGGGGAGCCCCTTCAGCTGCCTGTTGCCGTGTTTCCAAGGCAGCTCCGTGCTGGCAGAGCAGCGAGTGCCACCTGAGGAGAGGTAACTGCCTGAGGTGGCCCAAGGGTTAAGGCTTGTGCCTCAGGGATTGAGGCAAACCTGTCAGTGGCAGGAAGAGGAGTGGAAGAGAAGCAGACAGGCCAGGGCACTGGTCTCTGTGAATTGGTTCAGGTTTATACCCGCTGATACTGGTTCTCAGTCCCATGTTTGAAGCATCACCTTCCACGCTGTCACTCTAACAGAACTTGACTAGAACAGTGCGTGTTTAGTCCAGTCTTCTCATTTCCCTGCATATTTGAAGTGTAAGTCCTAGTGCATGGCAGCAGAATAATTAGGGGAGTGCTTTCCAAGCGATTTGCCTCGATTACCAGTATTTACCCAGCAATCCTGCAGCTCACTCTCTGCAATTAACACAGCAGAGCTATATGCACTCATTTGGTACCTATTATTGTATTTCTCAGAGTATTATCAAACACAGAATGCCTGTGACTGTATTGTATCACTGTGGGTGTATAAACTAGAAAATCACTATTTCTCTGTTTGGAACAAAACTAATTTATGACTGGAAAAAAGCTCAATAGTGAAACCCACGGTTGTCAGTAACAACTTGCATTGGGGCAGAACCACAGAAGGTTGTTTCCTAATTGAGTCTGTTTTTAATAGGATTACAAATCACGAGACGTAACGGATGACGTGAAGAGCATTGTGAGATTTGTACAAGAGCACTGTGGACAAACGGGACGAACAAATGCAAAGAGAAATGCAGGTTTTGGAAGATACACGCTGAATATGATGGTAGACATCTTCTTAGGTGAGTTCAGTTCTTCCAGAAACAGCACCTGAAGAGACTCGGTGCCTAAATTCCTGATGAAGTATCAGGAGCTCTGTGCAACACTAGCAGTGATCGACAAGAAGATATATTTTGCAAAATTACTCGTCACAGGAATCTCTTTGTGGAAGATGATCCAAAAGAAATGAAACTAAAGCTTTAATCCGTTTCAGGTCGCTATAGTGATAATATTAGTTTTCTAGTGGTGCTTGGAGTTTCTGGTGCCTAAATGCATTTTCTTTATGTACATACACTATGGAATCCCCCTGGGAGCCCTCCACAGGTGTAAGTACACACGCACGTGGGGTTTCTAATGGCTGACCCCGGGCTTTCTCTTGCACAGGTGCCAAGAGCGCGAAGGTTCAGTCTGGGATATTTGGGAAGGGAGCTGCCTACTCGCGGCACAACGCCGAAAGGCTCTTCAGAAAACTGGTCTTGGACAAGATTCTAGATGAAGACTTGTACATCACTGCTAACGACCAGGCTGTGGCATATGTCATCCTGGGACAGAAGGCTCAGGCGGTGCTCAACGGGTCCCTGCAGGTGTGTAACAGCTGGGGGTGTCTCTAATATATTGTTATAAGGGACGTGCTACAGTTTCTCTGTAGCGTTTGCCCTCGGACGGCTAAAACCAGCTGCAGTGCAGGAGCCAGTCCTTAGCAGATGCAGGGAACAGAATCCAACCACCACGATTTCTAGTCCACTACTCTAATAATAACGTTGTGAGGCAAAAGGTGAGTTTGAGAGGAGTGGAGAGGGTGAAATCTTGCTGCTCTTCCTCCATCCACCTGATTCCCGCCTGGCAAGAAAGGGAAGCTATGGCCAACACAGAAAAGGCTAAGGGGAGAAGAAGAAGCAGTGCTACCTTCTGTGTTTTCTGCTCTATTTTTTCCTGGTCATTGGTGAGCTCTGATGGAAAATGCACTTGGAGAAGGTCATGGAACTAGTCCTGGAGATGCTCGAGGCAGCGTCACCTTCACATCAGTGCTGTGTCTGGAGCAGAGAGAGCCCTCAGAGCCAGGCCTAGTGGCTGCTCTTTAAATCTAGCTGTAACTGGTGTTCTCAGGATTTTCCCCTGTGTTGTGTACATTCTGCTAATTCTTTGTAGGAGAAACTTAAGGATGGTTGAATAGCCTGTAAAAAATAATTCTAAAAGGGTGTGCTGGGTAAATAGCTTGCTTTGGTGGATCAGAGAATTCTTTTGGTTTCCTTCCCTGTCTTCCTGTGTTCTCAGTCCCTCACTCTCTCCTCTCCTGGTGGCTCAGGTGGAGTTTCATGAAACGGAAAGCGCCAGCGCCGTCAGAAAGCAAAGGGCTTCTGTGGCAAAGGTGTCCCAGCGGGAAGAGATGGTTAAAAAGTGCCTTGGGGAACTCACGGACACCTGCAAAACGCTTGGGAAAGTCTTTGACGTGCATTACTTCAATATTTTCAGTACCTCAACACTAAAGAAAATAGCAGGTAAGGTCAGCTTTTCCTTACTGGGAAGCCCCATCGGCTGCACGTGCGACTGGAGCCTTTTCTGACAAACTCTGCAGTTTCTGACATTTAGTGAGAACAGGTTTCAGTACAAATAACTGAGCGTGTCCTGGGGAAGCTCTTCAAAAAAAGTTAGTTTGTTTGACATGTCTAATTGGTACTTTGTTCCATTACAGAGACCTTGTCATCTGATGTGGAAGTTTTACTGCAGATTGATGGTGTCACAGAAGATAAACTGGAAAAATACGGAGCAGAAATAATTAAAGTGATGGATAAGTACTCGGAGTGGAGCGTACCAGGTTCAGTACACTCTGTACCTAAATGTGTGCTCTCCTCTTTAACACCCATCTCTCCTCCTCTATCACAAGTTTCACTCAAAAGTTGCCTTGTTTTAAATACAAATAACTAATTCTTGCAGCTTAATAATCACAAAAAGGGAGTGACTGCACATTTTCAGAAGATGCAAAGATCTTTGTTATCTTCTTGCTTGTTAAATTCAGTGTATCTCTGAACGGGTAAAAGAGGCAAAGGAGATCTAAGCAGACTGCTCTGCTCTGAACCTGTTAGCTGCTGGCATTTATGTAATATGCTTAGTCATAACGAGAATTCTGACCTTAAAGTTACAGGTCTTGCACCACCTGCATCTCCTACGTATGGGATAACATCGTGGGCTGGCAGAAAATCAGTAACTTCCACCTTTTTTTTTTTTTTTTTTTTTCAGGACAGCCCATGGATAGCAGGTCATAGTATTTGGTTTGCGAGCTGTGCAGAACCTCACTGTGAAAACAAACAAGCTCTTGTGCAATTATCATGCAGTTCATGTAGTTTTAATTTAACCCTTTTGCATCCGGGCTTTAACTTCCCCCTTTTTTTTTTTTTTTTTTTTTCATGGTAAATGAGGTCAGCAAGTTCAGGTCTTCACTGAATAGTGGAGAACTTTCAAAGCTTGGTGTGAAACCCATGACCAGGTGACAATGGCAGCACCGAACGGGGCAGCATTGAATAATGGCAAATTGAGCCCCGAGACTAGTAAATCTGTTACCTTCCCCTGAGTGTAGCCTGTAGCCTGTAATCAGAGTATTTAACACAGCCTGGCTATCAGATTAGACACTGGGGCCTGCAATTTTAAAGTGATTCATGTTTACATTTAAAGAGGCTGTGCTTTCATACACTGCGTTGTGAATAAACACCTATCTACAAACCTCATTTTTAAAGTATTTTATTCCACTGCTGGTGCAAAGGATCACGTCCCTCTGGATCGTGGCTGACTGAGAAGGAGCTCTGGGCTCCCTGAGCCTTTCAGTGTCTCCTGGTGCTGGGTTTAAAAACAAGTGCCAGATTTGACTGTAATATTTATGGTATATTCCATAATTCTTTCCAGATGACCCAGGGAAGGGAGTGTAAAGGCAGAAAGCCCAGTGCTACCAAAATAGCGTAGACAAGAAGCCAAGCTAGAGGAAACAGGGCTGCCCAGGGCTCTTATGGTGTGAGATAAAGCAAGGAGAGAGGGCAGTTTTGGTTGACACCACCTTCAGCTGAGCCTGGGGCAGGGTGAAGGTGCAGGGGGGGCCTGGGACAGTCAGGACGGTGGTTCTGGCGCAGTCGGTGTGCTCTGGCTGGCAGTTCTGCTGGCCCAGGCCATGCCATGGTCTCATCCCTGTTAACTCTCTGTCTCTGCAGAAGACACTGTTGGCCAAAGCGTGGACACGGCCGCGGGAAGCACGGGCACACCCGAGAGCGAGGGAGAAGCCGAAGACGTCGTTACCACCTCAAGCTATTTCTGCAATAACGCAAACCAAAGGAGGAAAAGGAAAAGGCCACCAAACTTCAGAGACTCGAAGAGGAAAAAGACAAGCGCTGGCGGTAGCCAGCAGTTCCATCCCAAAGGGTAGGTGGTTGTGGAAATTTGTAACTTCTCTTTGTCCAGAATAGCCCAATGATGATCCCAGAACTGCACTGTCATCCTGCTGTGCTTTCTTGAGTGAGTACGGGCTTTAAGAATGGCATGAAAATGAACCAGGTGCCTGCTAATAGCTGCTCTGCTTTGGTTTTTTACCATTTTGTTTAGAAAGCTCCTGGTGAGGAAGGGGATTTAGGAGTTGTCCTTTGTTTCTCACTCATGACTGCCCCAAGCCGAGTAGTGACACTGAGTTTCAGTGTGCTGCTGTAACCATCACTAACATCCTGGCTGGCTTCTGGGCTTGGAAACATAAAGGCAGCTCAAAACTGAAGATTTGATGGAACATCTGAACTTCAGTTCCCAGCCCCTTGTTAATTCAGAACTCCTCCCTCCGATTGTCCCATATGAGGCAACACCTGCATCAAGACCCTAAGGTTTGGATCCAGGAGCCTGGTTGGTCTTGAGCTTCCAGGGCAGATCCACCACCAACTATCCCAGGGTGATGGAGGAGCCAGGCTGGGCCTCATCCTTTGAGATCTGACACTATTTTAACAGTTTATGTAGTTAGTAGTGCAGTAACTCAAGTGGCAGTTTGTGCTGAATGTCTGTGCCTCAAAACTTGATTAATCAGTGCTGAAAGGGAATGATCAAAAAAGGGGAAATGGAGAAATTCCACCTCCCCAAATCCTCTTTAAAAACAGAGGTGGGGTATTGCACCTCGCCTGGAGTCCGAGATAGAGAAGGTGAGGAACCAAAGAGCAGTTACATGAACGACCCACCTCTTGCATTTCTGAAAGAATTCTTTGAATAGGATTTTATTTGGTCTATAAGCGTCACAGGAATTGTGTTACCTTTCAGCTGGGAGGAGTTCAGGCTGTGGGGAACAGCAGCTCTAACTGGTACTAACGTGTTCTCCAGAACATTCTGTAAAACCCCCCCATGAATTTTAAAGACCCTTCAGGTTTATTGGTATATTAGCAGCTTACATTCTACTGCTTTAGTATTGCATTCATCACCAAAGAGAAAACACCACGTGCCTCCTTCAAACCCCCTGCGTTCTGCCATCGCCTGTGCTTTCCGAGGATGTCTCTCTCCTCCTCTGCCCCCTCTTCCCTCATTCTGGTCCTTGTTTTTTTGTAGCAAATTGCAAGTCCCGGCTCAGTAGGTTTTCCTCCCACCCTTTTCACCTTCCAATCTGCTAAAATATTAGTCATTAAATGCTGTTGACCCTGAACTGTCACTTAATGTTGATACTCTAATTGGATTAATGGGAGTCAGGGTGGTTCAGCCCTTAGGCGGATGCCAGAGCAACAGCTACAGCCATTTACATTTCAGAGGTATTTTGCAGCCACGTGTGCTAATACCTGCATCCCTGGAGGTATTTAAGAAACATGTAGACATGGCACTTCAGGGCATGCTCTAATGCCTGAGATTGTTGGGTTTTGTCTGTCTGTGGGTGGGTGTGGGGTGTGTTGGTTTGGGTTGTGGGGGGTTTTTTGGGTTTTTGTGGTTGGACTCAATGATCTCAAAGGTCCCTTCCAACCATGACTAGTCTGTGATTAAAAAAAAAACACCCAAACAACCCAACTCCCCCCTCCAACCCCAGAACTTCTTGAAAATGAAAGCCTAGTCTTCTAGAAAATCTGTATCAGAGTGTATGTATGGACTGTGTGAAGCAAAGCCATGTCTGACACATACCCTCCCTCCCCTGCAGGGCCCACAGCAGGTACCGGCGGCCCCGACGCCAGCCCGGGCCCAGGGCTCCCGGCCCCTCGCTGCCCGTCACCGCCTCCCAGGGAGCCGCCGCCAAGCTGGGGATTATGGCACCTCCCAAACCCAAAAACAGGCAGTTCCTTCAGCCTTCGTATTCAGTACTGTGACTGGGGAAGTGTAAATACTGTACGATAGCAAGCCCCGAAGATGTAATCATTGTTCATTAAATCTTTGTTTCGTTTGCTAAACCTTCTGAGACTTGTACATTTGTCAAGTACCAAAACCTCACATTAAATAAATGCTTTTTAACTCATAAGCTTATTTGGATGGTTCTTTCTGCTGTAAGCAGAGAAGAGCTGTGCCGGGTTGTGGAGGGGCACGGGGCTGCTCCTCAGCTTCCTCAAATGCTTTTTAACTCATAAGCTTATTTGGACGGTTCTTTCTGCTGTAAGCAGAGAGGAGCTGTGCCGGGTTGTGGAGGTGCTGCTGTTCAGCTCCTCAGCTTCCTGGGGAGCCCCCGGGGACCACACACCAGAAGTGGTGACTGGAGCTGTGTGTGTCCCAGCGCTGGGGCTGCCCCTGCTCCGCTCCCTCCCTGGCTGTGTGAGCACTTCAGAGCTGAGCTGCTCCTCTCAAAACCTCAGCCTGGGGCCTTCTCCAGAGACAGAAAATATAATTAACGTTTGGAAGTTTTACGTTTTATTCCCCAGGTTCCAGGGCTGGAGAGGGGCTGCAGAGCCTCCCCAGAGAGCCAAGCCCTGCTCCAGCTCTGCTGCTTTTTTAGTTGTTAATTTTTTCATTATTTTTATATCCTGTGATCTGGTCGCAACCACAGTGAAGGGGTTTGAGCCACCCTCACCTCCTGCTGTCCTGCCCTGCCAGGGTGGCCCCGGTGTGTCCAGAGAGGGGCTGGAGAGATGCCTGGTGGGGCCAGGACCAGCCCTTCGCTCCCTTGGCTGGAGCAGAGGATTCCATCAGCTCCTGCCGAGCAGCGACTCCCAGATGACTGGTCTTGTGTATTTTATGACCCACCTCTTGAGCTCTCAGACCATTTCAATTAACCTCACTCTTCAGAATGTTCACTTTTACCCTCCTGAGCATAACCAGCTGTAGTGCACATTGGTGGAGTCACCACATGGTTCTTCACTGCCGCCCACCACTCTTCAGAATGTTCACTTTTACCCTCCTAAGCATAACCAGCTGTAGTGCATATTGGTGGAGCGTCACCACATGGTTCTTCACTGCCGCCCATGGGCTGTCCATCACAGAATGGTTTGGGTGGGAAGGGACCTTACAGCCCCCCCAGTGCCACCCCCTGCCCTGGGCAGGGACACCTCCCACCAGCCCAGGTTGCTCCAAGCCCCCTCCAACCTGCCCTTGAACCCCTCCAGGGATGGGGCAGCCACAGCTTCTCTGCCCAACCTGGGCCAGGCTCTCACCACCCTCACACCAAACAAGTTCTTCCCCACAGCTCAGCTCCATCTCCCCTCTTCCAGTGTCAAACCCTTCCCCCTGGTCCCATGGACCCCCTCCCTGATCCAGAGGCCCTCCCCATCTCTCCTGGAGCCCCTTGAGGGACTGGAAGGGGCTCTGAGGTCTCCCCGGAGCCTTCTCTTCTCCAGGCTGAACCCCCCAGCTCTCTCATGGCTTCATCCCCCTGCCCTGGAGCCCCGACACCACGCGTGCCCCGGTCTGTTGAGGCGCTCACCGGGGCCTGGCGGGGCCGCCCCGCCAATGGCCGCCCTGGCGGGAAGGCGCAGTGGGCGGGAGCCGG